TGTAGGGTTGGTCTTTGTGATGCTTCAGTGGTTAAAACGCTGTTTTCTCAATTCAGGGAGATGAATTCCTCTGTTTTTGGAATGCGCCTGGAACTGCTCCTGTGCGGATTGGTGCAAGGGCTGATCAGCTGTGCTGCTCGGCAGGAGCAGCTCCCCGGCCCAGTGTGGTTCCAGTCAATATTGGCTGCTGGAGTGAGCACAAGCCATCCCTCCTTGGGAGTGTCTCACAGGAGGGATGGCTCCTGCACGGAAAACAAACACTAGTGAGCTGTGGCAGATATAGCTCCAGGATTATGTTGCTGACATTGTCAGAATTTTAGTAACTGAGAAGAAATCTCCATTGAGGAACGTTTGCAGGGGGTTGGTTACACACTTCATATGCAGGGAGGGGTGGGTGTCAGTTCTATTAGTCTGGAATAATGTGTTGTCAGGAGATATGAAACGGGGATGCTGCTCAGGCTGGCTCTGTGGATTCTGCTGCACGTCATTCATGCACTGTTCCGCATTCCATGTGCATTATTTTGGGCTAAATAAGTGAGCCCCTGAGTTCATCACTGCCTCAGCTTTGTGCTGTCAGATTGGAATGAGGACACGCTCTGAATCTGTGTGGTAGAGTGGGACTTGTTCCACCAGAGGCTTGTGTTGAAGGAGGAACACAGTTACTGCAGTGTTGAAGACTTCTGTTTATTCCTGGCACTGATGGCAGGATGTAATCATAAAATTAGGGATTCGTGTGAGGAGCAGTGACAGCATGCTGCCACCTTTATTTGCTTGAAATTTTGAAACTAAAGGAATCTGTTTACAGCATAAGGAGAAGAGGAAAATACAGTTTTCTAGCAGCAGGGCTTTGGTACTTCATTTGATTTATAAATTATTTGCTAAGCATGGACGAGCAATCACAAAGAAGGATATTAAAAAAAAAAAAAAGATTGTGAACGTTTTCTTTCACTTTGGGATCTGAACTCATGAAACCCCCTATCTGGGACCTCAGGATTCCTTGGACTATGCCATGCTTACCCCTGGGCAGCAGTAGGTGCAATTCCAGGGGGGATTTTAGTCCCTGAAGTGCTGTTGAGCACTGATGGTGAGCTGTGCGCGTGGGTGGGTTTGTCTGGTTTGTGCCAAGGTGGGCACAGCTGGTTTAGCAGCAGGGAGGAAATGTCCCCGTGTGTCTGAGAAGCACAGCTGTGCACGGGGGGCTGGGCTGAGCCCCAGATGTGCTGAGGCTGCTCCCTTGTGCACGGACAGCAGGCCCATGCCCACCCTTCCAGGCTGCCTCTTGTCTGCCCACGCCCCTGCTCTGCTCATCGTGCTCCAGAGACGAGAGAGGAGGGAGGGCATTTTACAGTGGGGAGGTTTGGGCTCCGGTTCAGGTCCAGCTGAGTGCAGAGAGGGTGCTACACAGAGCTCAGGATCACGTAAATGGGCAATGGGATGTGTGGGAGAGAATGAGGATGACACATGGGGCAGAGGAAGGAAAGGCTGGCTCTGGGAGGAGCCCAGGGGATTCTCCAGAGGGTTCATGCAGGCGGGTGGGTGGTGATGGGGGTCCCAAAGGCAGAGGTTGGAGGTGCATCTTAAGGAGTTCTGAGGTCCCCTGGTGTCCCAAAGGCAGAGGTTGGAGTGCCCCTGTGTGCTGCTGTTTGCAGCCCCTTTGTGCTGCTGTTCCCGGATAAATGATGCCAGAGGGGTATAAATGACACCAGGTACAAAGGGAGCTCTGCCCCAGAGCAGGCAGAGCTGTGGGAGCAGCCTGGCCTGGGCAGCTGCACTCCTGCGCCTGTTCTGCCATTTTAGGGGCTGAGATTGTGGCTGATGCCTTCAGAGCTCAGGAGGGTTAGAGCAGAAGAGAGAACGCGTGTTTGGAATGCTCCCAAAGTGTAACATATTGCACATGTATTATGTAGGCTTGGGAAATGATGTTTAAAGGAGCTGAGCCCCCAGGCTACTTGGACAAAGCAAATATCAAGACCATTAAGTTCTCTTGCTAAGCTTGACTTGTCCTTGTTATTAAGGTCATTTCAATGCGTATTTTGATAACTGTGACGTTTCTGTGTAACAACTTTGTGCTTGAATTTTTTTTTAAATCAGTTGGAAAACATTTTGCCAGATTTTTGTCAAGCTGTCAGTGAGAGCTTTGTTATATGCAGGAGTGATAGAGAAACACTTTTGAAAGTAATTTTTCTTCTTTTTCACTCTTAGGCTGACAAATCGTGAGAAGCAGCTTTTCTGGTCATGCAGGTCAAGCAGAGAAAGGAGCAGTTCTCTCTCAGAGGGACTGCAGGTGTGGTGCTGGGTTGGAGGGGGCTGAGAGCCTGTCAGTCACTGCAGGGAGTGCTCAGGGAGCATCAGTTAGTTCCATGTGCTGTTATAAGCCTGTTCCAATGTCAAACCCTGTCCCAAAAATGTGCTAAAATTGCCTGAGGGTATTGACCCCTCAGGATGATCCCAGGGCCAAGGGAAGTTCAAGATTTCTGCTCAGAGAAACTCAGCATTTCTAAAGGGGATTTTGGGAGGGCTGGGGTAAAACAACTTCCATATGGAATACAGACTCGTAGGTAACAATAACACATTAGGAGATGGTGATGTGTGTAAAACACTGCTGCTGCCTCAACTTTGTGTTTTAGTGTATTTATACCTGCCCATAGCAAATCCATCCTCTCCCTTTGTAACTAACTGCTTGCTGTAATCTCTTTCCAGCCAGGGGGAGTCGGTGTTGGCAGTGTTAGCACGGTGTGGATGGACATCCTGAGGCCAGGTGGAAGGAAGGATACCCGGGGAGGGCTGGGAGAAGCTGCCCATGGGCTCAGCTGCCCTCACCTCAGAGCAGGCATCCTGAGCTGGCTGCCCTGCTACCCCTGACTCAGAGTGTTTCTATCAGATTGAGCCAGGTTCTGTTCCTCTGGACTCCTCAAGTCAGGACAAGGAAGTTCTGGACATCCCCACCCATCCGCACAGAGAGACAGAGGACTCTGTCTCTTTTCTATGAGTTTTGGAAGGGCAGAGTGTCAAAATTACACACGAGAGTGATAAATGTGACACTGTCAAAGGTAAATGTAGTTAAAGCAGGTTCTAAATAAGCCAGGAGCAGTGGTGAGTCAGCAGAGAGGGGCTATAAATACCAGAGCTGATGCAGCAGCTGCAGCTGGGGGGGCCACCAGGGAAGAAGGGAGTGGAGAGGCTCTGGGATGTACCAGGATCCACACGTGTTTTGAGAAGCTGTCAGAGAGAAGAGAACCAGAACTGTAATTACAAGGTGCTCTCCAGATGCTTAGTCTGGAGTTAAACGGTTGGTTTTCCTAGGTTCTCCCTCAGATGAAGAAAAAGCCAGAACAGGTGACTCAGCTGTGCTTCAGTGGCAGGGGGAGCTTGTGCAGGTGTACAGGCACTTCACCTGCCCTGGAGCAAGCACTGCTGTTGCTTGTGCTTCTGGATTCCCAGCACCCTGCAGGGACAGTTCACAGTAAACAAACCTCTTAAGCAGAGTTTTAAAACAAAGTCTGTGTTAACTGTCTCTGTGTGGTGTTTTTGGGAGATACAGAGTCAGGGGAGCAGTGCCTGCATTCTGCAGGTTGGGATGTGCATGGAAGTGGCATGGTCACAGCTGACAATTCACAAAGATTAAGGGCAAAATAATGTTCTGATGTGCTTTTGCAATTCAAGATTATCTGGTGATAAAGTCATGGGATGTTTATTTGTGGGGAGGTTTGTGTATGTAAATGCTTCCTTTTACACCTTGGACATCTGCAGGCATGTATTGTTTAAAGGAATGGTAGAAACCAGAGGCTGACAGGTTTAATTTTTAGTTTCTCTGCTCTCCCACTCCTGCAGGGCTGTGCCCACTGACATGCTCCCCTCTGCTGTCCCTGCTTGCCAGAATGATCCAGTGCTTCTTGTGCTTCCATTTAGTCCTTGTTTTCAGTCCTTAGTTTAGGTAGAAGTCCATGGCTTTATTTGGACCAGTGCCCGTGTCCCCCCTGCTCTCCCTGTCCTCAGATGGGGTGGCAGTGGCACGGTGAGGGCTGCTGGTGGCTCCTTCCATCCTTCTGTCTCCTGTGTGTTCTGCTCCAGTCTGCATTTCAGGTGGGCGGGCAGTTCATTACTCTTTCTGCAGCGTTTATGCAGATTGCGGTCTGAGCTTATTTTAGAAGAGCAAAAACCAGGAGCAATTAGCAATCTGCTCAGGAAGGAGCTGGGAGAGAGGCAGACAGCAGCTCTGTGGCATGCCCAGGACNTGTTGCAGGAGGCACCAGCTGCCCCAGGTGCTGCAGGATGTGCTGCAGGAGGCACCAGCTGCCCGAGGAGCCCATCCCACACTCCACAGGCACCTCCGGTGCTGCTGAGCCCACCTGGGGAAAGGTCACAGGGGCTGCAGTGTGTGTCTGTCCTGGTGTCTGAAGGCCCTCAGGGGAAAGCAAATAAACATGATGATGGAACAGATGAAACCTTTGGTGTTTCTGAGCCGGGATTTGGAGGGTGTGAAAGACTTTTTAAGCCTTTGAGCCAAAGCTGGGTTGGATTTGTTGTTAAACCGGCAGTGCAGGGGGATGGGGTGAGAGAAGGGTGCATGGCAGCGCCGGCTTCCTTAAGGTCACTGCTGGCTGTCTTGAAGGTATTCGCATGGACATTTATCAAGAAATAAAATGTTAGTTTATATGAGAATAGTGTGTGATTTCAGGTAGTACCAGACAGATAGAAATATGGTTTTCTGGTTTCAAAAGGCAATTGAGAGCTGTGGGGTTGGTCTCAGTGTGGTAAGACCATTTGTTTTGACAAAGAATAAGGTTTAATGTGAGGCTGGTCGGTGGCACTGCTCTGCTCTCTCTTGGGCAGCAGATCCCGTGGCCTTATTGAGCCTGAATTCTCTGGGTGAATTCAGGGCCTGGAGGGAGCTCCAGCAGAGCCGTGCTGTTGGCTCTGGGACAAGGGAGGAGAACCCTCCTGGCCAGTGTCCGTAGCTGATGTCTTGTTCCTGTCCTGTGCTGTGCCTGCAGAGATCCGAACGCAGCTGGTGGAGCAGTTCAAATGCCTGGAGCAGCAGTCGGAGTCGCGGCTGCAGCTGCTGCAGGACCTGCAGGAGTTCTTCCGCAGGAAGGCCGAGATCGAGCTGGAGTACTCGCGCAGCCTGGAGAAGCTGGCCGAGCGCTTCTCCTCCAAGATCCGCAGCTCCAGGGAGCACCAGTTCAAGTGAGTGGCGGGTCCCGGGGCAGGGCTGCTGTGGGCACTGGGGTTGCTCTGTGCGTCGCGGTCCTAAAGCAGAGTGAAGTCACATCAGCCGGGACCTCGTCTGTCTCGTCCCTGTGGGGCTCACAGAAGGAACATTTGCACGTTTGTCTGTCCAACACTTCCACCACAGCATCGCTGACCTGTGAATGCTGCATGAATTGCACTTCCTGAGCAATAAAACAAAATAGGAACTGGGGACTGGGAAGGAATCAAACCCCTTGATTTTTTGAAGGGTCATGAATTCAGCCACTGATTTGATTGTGCAAATAGTGGTGGGCCTGGTCTATAGCCCTGGTTTTTGTGTGTAGCCCAGTCATCAGCTGTCCAGGTGCTGTGTGTTTCATGCAGGCTCACTGGCAGGCTCAGGGTTGGAAGCAGTTTCTGGAAATGGAGTTTACTGCACTTTATTTGCAATAAAGTATGTGCTTTTTCTGTGCTTAGCCGTATGGTGTTGGAGGGAGGCAGATCCTTAGTGGAAATATTGTGAAACAAAGCTTTGAAGTAGGAAATATGAACTGAGTCCTGGGATTGTGTGAGAATCAAACCAGTGATGCAATTGTGAAATCCATGAATATGTAAATATGTGTTTTCAAAAGCAGCTTCTTTTCAGTTTAACCACACTTGTAAGCTTGGCTAAACCAGAAAATATCTGAAAAAATAGAAAGACAAACAACCTTGACTCAGAATTTCATTTTGGAGATGGCTGCTCCGTGGTGAGGATACTGGCTTGTGCCATTCTGCTGGCTGGTGACCTCAAGGCCCTGTGGAGGCCACTGCCCCTCGCACCTGGGGGCTGCTCCCTGCTCCCCGTGTGTGCCGGGCCAGAGGGGCCCAGCTGGGCTCTGTGGGGCCACGCTTGGTGCTCGTGCTGGGCTTGGCAGCTGCTCTGGGTTGTTGTGTCCCCTGCCACAGGCAGCTCTCCTGGTGGTGTTGGGGGTGCGGGGTCTCACTGGGCAGCACGGGCAGTGCAGGACCTGTGCCCGGCAGGCTGTGTGCCCAGTGCCCAGCAGGNGCACAGGCTGCCCCGGCACAGGGCACAGGTTGCCCCAGCACATCCCACAGGGCACAGGTTGCCCCAGCACATCCCATCCCACGGGACACAGGCTGCCCCAGCACAGGGCACAGGCTGCCCCAGCACACCCCACGGTGCCTCCTTGCCCAGCACCCCTGTGCCAGGCCATGGCACCTGCCAGCTGACCCTGTCGGGGAGATCTGCACAAGGCTTAGTCTGCCCTCAGTAACAATTCACATAAATAAACAAATGCCAGTCTTTGTTTAAAGGCTCCCCCCACCAGGATGATGCATTACTCATTTCAGTTAACCTCATGTCACTAACCTGGCTGGGTCTCAGCCACACTGCAAGCCCCATACTTTCCCTTGTATGAAGGGATGTGAATTCAGAGAATTGGAGAACTCTGCACGTCAGAGTGGGAGCAGAAGAGAAAGAGGGGAATTTTAAAGAAAACAGTGCTTTGACAGAAGGAATGCTGGAATGTTTACATCTATATCTTCTCTTCCATATGCGTGTGACACAAGGCAAACGTGGCAGGAGAGTCCTGCAGGAGCAGTGCTGCAGCAGCTCTGCTCTGCATACCAAGGGAATCAGCTGAAATATCTGAGGGATTATTTTCTGGAAGCGATGGACACCTGCAGTGACAGCTGACTTTAGCCAGAGCTGCAGCTGCAGCAGCCCTTTCTGTCCTGATAGTGCTTCAGGAAAAGCTGTGCACACTGGTGCATATGGATTGCATTTGTCTGCTGGCTCGCTTCCCCTGGAGCTGCCCAAGTACCTTTAATGCCCTTTCTTATTTCTGGGTGGGAATTTAACACTCCTGTACTACACCAGGCTATTTCTGTATTTTCTTTGGTGTTGTTTATCTATAACCATCTGGTTCTGCACCCACTAATAAATGGGATGCTGGGGAAGATGGTGAGAGCAGACAATATGTTTTATGCTGATTTACCCTTCTTTAGAAGGCAGGAGCACAATCACTTGGTACTGAAGAAATGAATAATCTCTGCTTTGTGGGTGGCAGCTGCACAACCCAGTGATCCCAATGTAGAACATATTATTAGCCTCAAGCTAAGCTGTCTGCAGTCTGGAACTTGCTCCAGGTCTATAGTAAATGACGAATTCATGAGGAGGCTGTGAAGTATTGGGCTGGATCCTGTCTGGTGTGGAAAGCCCTTTGGAGACAGTCTGCTGGATGCTGCATTGCATGTCCGTTACCTTCTGAATATCCATGTGAATATCCATCCTTCTGCGCTGCAGCAGTGAGGTTCTGCAGGTCTTTATTCACCCTGAAACACCCCAGGACCGCTGGTGCTGCCTGAGGCTGCGTTTGCAGCCTTTGGGGAGGGTCGTGCTGGTTTTGGGGAGGTGAAACCCCTCCCTACGTTCATGCTTCCTGTCTGCAAGTTCCAGGCTGGCTGGATCTGGTGACAGTGATGCACTTCCATTGGTCACGNGAAAACTGGGGCTGTGCACTCAAAAGGGCTGCGGCATGGGCTGGGGATTACACACACACATGAAAATACTGAAAAATGCCAGTGCCACAGGAGTTTTTTTCTTTCTGGAGAGAAGTTGTTTTCTTTCTCTTTTTTTTTTTTCTTTTTTTTTTTTTTTTAAGCGGGAGCACTCCTTTCAGATAAAAGGCTTGTCTTGTTCTTTGTTTTACCAGGAGCCGTATCTCTTGTCTTTGTGTAGGCAGTGATGTTACTAATCACACGGAAGGAAGGAGAGGGGAGGCCTGGGCAGCTTTGTGCTGTTTGCCTTCCCTGCAGGTCCCCTCTGGCTGCTCCCCAGTACTGATGGAGGCACCCCTGGCAGTTGTCTGTGGATGCTCCAGGCCGTGGGCCTGCAGCTCCGTGGCTGTTGGGGCCCAGTGCTGTCGCTGCTGGGGCCTGGCAAAGCCTGTCCTGGCTGCAGCCCTGCCGCAGGGTGCATGGTCCTGTGGCAGTGTCCATCCCTGGCATCCCTCTGCTGCTGTGCAGGGCAGGCAGTGCCCGAGGTGCCGGCACTGCCAGGGACACGTGTGGGCTCTGAAGAATGCCCTGCCAGCCTGGGACTGGGCCCGGCTCCTGGGCATGGCACCGAGATCCCACGCTCTGGGGCTGTGCTGGCTTCCCTGCCCTCAGCTGGGGCTCTCCTGCTGGAAGGAACACTGGCTGGGGTTCCACAGTGGATCCAGGAGCTGCATCAGCTCTGGGTGTGAGAGCTCTCCAGGGGAAACCGCGTGTGCTGGTCACACATGGGGTGACAAAGCGCTGGAAAATTCACCCAAGGTATTTCTGTTATGGAGAGGGCTGGACTTTTAGGGAAGGCAGGACAAGGATACTCTGAAGGGGGCATGAAAACAATTGATAGTCAAATGGCCTTGTTAGTGTGTTGTATTTATGTAAGAATTGGATCCTCCCTGAGTCCAGCTTGCTGTGCTATATTTGCAATGAACTATTGGGTCTAATCCCAGTTGTGAGAAAATAATGGCTTTTGTTGCCAAGCATATTTTCTCACTTGTCACAAATCAGTGGGGTGAAGCATATGTTAGAGGAGCGGCTGTCTCAGGCTGCCCGGCGGGAGGATCCGTGACAACGCTGTTCTCCTGGATGGATGATTGGGATAATTCAGCGCGGTGGAGCAGCCG